CCTGGGCTGTGACTCGTGACCTGAGTTGTCGGAATCGGAGCGGTCGTCGAAATTGACATCGGAGCGGGGTGGGGGGGGGGGGGGTGGGTTAATTGTATTTATTTATTTATATCTTTTTATATATTTATATATATTTATTTATATATATGTGTATGTATAGATTTAAAAATCTGATTTTTAAAATGTGAAAGTTATTTTACTATTTTTAAAATAGGGTAAAGATAAAGTAGGAAAAGTGAATTTTCCTCTTACTTTTTGGTACTTTAGTACGTTAAGAGTACCAGTATCATTACGTTTGAAGGATGTGCCCACAAATTCTTATCATTGCTTTACTTTGGAACAAAAAAGTTAAAAAATGAAAAAGAAAGCTTTCGACTTTTAATAATTATTTTCTGCAGAATCAAGCAAAGGTGTCCCACCCAGAAAGCAAGCACAATAACCTCTCCCTACCTCTCTTTGTAAAATTCTACAAGATGCTTGTGTTCATGTTCACTTCGAAGAAATTTCTTTTGGCGTGTTCTAAAAATGATCGAAAACTCGAGATTCTTGAGCACTGAGAGAGAGAAATTGTTTTAGAAATTTAAGTCTCCTGAATTGAAATTTTAATGAAATTTATTAAAATTTAGGGGTCCCTAATTAATATTTTAATGAAATTATTTAAAATTTAGATATTTTCAATAATCAGTGGATTTATAAAAATTTCATTAATAGAGGGATTTTAAAATTTTTGGATGAATTCCAAACTTTAAAATATATATTAATCAAATCTTTTGAAATTTCATCATACTTGACGAGATTCGTATGAAATTTGTGGAAATTTAATTAATTCACAAAATTCAATAGGATTTATAATATTTTAAAATCCATCAAAATTATAATTAATGACACCCCGTTAGACTATAGTATTTCAATTTGGCCAATTTCAAAAATCGAAACTCTTCGAAAAATTTTGAGGAAAATCTTACGAGAACTTTTGTCCGAAATATTTGAAATCTTAAATGAAGAAATTCACATTATTTTTAATAGCCATCCTTAATAAAATATACAAATAGCACCCCAAGAAAAATATTTTTTGAAATTATCCATACTATATAAAGACAGACACTCTCCTTTAATAATGTCAGTGTGTGTTTGATACGCATTTTTTAGGAGAGAATATTTTTTTTTTCATGTGATGTGATAGTGAATATGTGATTAAAAAAGAACGAAAAATTATTGATCTGATGAAAAATATTATTTTATTAAAAAATGTGTGGTTAAAAATGAACAGAAAAATGAAAATGGAAATGTCGGTTAAACGGGGCTCAGTGCTGGAAAGTTGGTATCCAGGGACACTGATTACTAATTAAGGACGCGTTCGGTCCAGTTTAAAGTCCAATTAAAATTGAAAATATAGTTGTTATTGGGTTCCAGTCGTTTAATAAAAGTCAACAATAACGACTAATTTTTCAATTTTAATCCAATTTTAATTTCTACCGAACATGCCCTAATTGTTAATTCATAACTTGTTCTCGCTTTTAATTTGTAATTTTTTTTTTTTTTAAAGTGCGTGAATTTTATTACAGAACAACCAGTCTACGTTTACTGTTTAATCACACCATTAACGTAAGTCTGACATCATAATCTCCTTTTTCACAATTTAAAGTAAGGGTTAATCACATCAGTCTGTATGTTTACTGTATAATCACACCATTAACGTAACTCCGACATCATAATCTCCTTTTGTATCAATTTAAAATAGGGGTTAATCACCTTGTACAAACGTATCTTGTAATCCACTGAACGTGCTTCCACCTGTTCTTTCATCGTTGAATCCACCAACCGGCGAAAACCTCCTAATCCAGGGATCGCCTCCATTTTCAAACAAAGCCCACCTCCAAAATTAACCCTTTTTTCTTCTTTGCGGTGAAGCACCATTTTCTACTGCAG